TTCTATAAGATAAATACAATACAGATTGTTAATAGGGGGCTCTGAAGTTTAACTTTGTTATTGGCTTTACCTGTTAACTATTTTTTTATATAGTAAATAAATGCCAGGTTGAATTGGTTGGTAAACAGAACTGTAGAAGTTCAGAAACTGTGGGCCCGTTTCTTGAAATATGTTTATCAGTATTCAATTGGGGGGGGGGAATCTATACATATGTGGGGTTTTTTGACACAATTTTATGTCATGTTTTGCTTTTTATGTTTTGTATTTTTTTCCTTTTTTGGGCGTTTGTATTTTAACTTTGTGAATAAAATAAATATTGAAAAAAATCTGTGCCCATTTGTAATCTGTATAATTGTCCTATTTTCTTAGAGGTTGGAGGGAATGAGCATACATTCTTTTGGCAAATAGCACAGCCAGTTTACAAATATGCATGCATTGTTCTTCCTGCATTACATTTTCAATTATAATAATCCAATGCCTGTTTTATAAGCTTCTTACTGATCTTAAGTCTATCAAATATGTCCTCAATATGTCAAAGAAATTATGTCAAATTATGTTTTTGCATAATCTGCTCTTTTTTCTTTTCTTTTTTTACAAAATATATTGTTCTTTCAGAAATCAGAAAGCCTCCATATGGAAATGCAGAGGATCAGGTTGTTTAAAGGATCCAACAGCTATCAAAAAGTCGTAAGAAAAACATTACTGCATCCCCAAGGGAAAACTGCCATAATCAGAGAAAGGTCCAATATGGACTATCTATTGATTTCAAAAGCAATTAATCAACCTCATTTTTCAACTGGTCCTGAAGTATATTTCTTTTTTATTTAGACTGGGTTGGATTTGAGTTATTATTCCTAGTAGATTTTAGTTTAAGTTCCCAGGCAGTAGTAAACTGTGACAAACATTCACTCATATCGAGAAACTAACACTGTTCCTAATGTGGTATCTGAGTATCTAGATTTTCACATGATAAAACAGCTGAGCACAAATATCTGGGGGGAAAAGCATAATATCTGAGTACCACAATATTCCAATTTCACCCAGTAAAATTATAAACAGTAATGAAGGCTTTCTACAAGTTACATCAGTACAAGTTACATCAGTACAAAAAACATCTGTCTTTTTCTCCCAGTAACAAAAACCACAGATCCAATAGGAAACCTTTAAAGAACTGTATGTCTGAGAACAGCAGCAACATGATAAAGTAGGTAATACTCCAGTTACCAAAGTTAATATTGTGGTTCACAGGGCCACAAAACAAATGTTTTCTTTAAAAACTCTCCTTTGGCTATAATCTCTCATTTCATAGCATGCTTTCATGCAGATATATACTTCCTAGACTTAAAAAAGGATGTGTTTGTGAGTTTACGAGTGCAGAATTTGAAACTGAATCAGAATCTCTGTTCTAGTTTATAAGGCATATTTCTGGATATTCTAAAATATACAGGGATCTTTGTGAAAGACAATATTTGGTTTCTGTCACTTTTTAGCTATATGTCATTGTTCATATTTCTCCCTGATTTGCCTGGTTTATACCCCCAGCTAAATGTTAAATTATATTATTCGCATATCATATACAGATATTTTATATTTTTCCAAACTCACATTTCAGGTTAAAAGTGCAGCAAATATCTGAGTGAAATTCAAAGGACTGAATAGGAGTGTGACTAGAAGTCCATAGAGAAACATAACTGATACTGCATGTCATGTATTTTCACTTCTATAAGTGTAAGTAGTCCTTGCCTTATGCTGGTTTATTTAATGGTGGTTTAAAGTTACAACAGACTCAGAAAATTAACTTATGACTAGTTACAAGTGTTGCACCACTCCCAGTCATGTGATCCCAATTTGGGAGCTTGGCATCCTGCTCACATTTATGGTAACCGCAACATTTTGTGGTAACATTATTGTGACCTGTGACTTTCCAGCAGGCTTTCAACGAGCAAAGTCAATTGGAGAAGCCAATGACTACATAATTCACTTAATGACTCTGGTAAAATTGGTGGTAAAATCAGCACCGGATGACTCGCTTTATGGCTGCATTGACTTAAAATCACAATTGGAACTAGAATTTCCATAATTCAAGAACTCCCTGTACATTAATCCTGCAATTTTTCACAACTTTATTCAGAAAACCTATTATGTTCAAACAGGCTTCCTCACAAATACATGTACTAGAAATGCAAATTTATTTCTTGAATTTCTTTTGCAATGCTCTAGCTTGTATAAATCTCCTTCCTGTGCACCTGGAAGGGACTTTTGTATCCAATCCATGCAGAGACATCTAAATTACTTTTGATTTATATAATCTATTTTGAAATGTAGGTTCATATGCGAGGAGGCTTTCAAAATTAAAGCCATTTTGCAGCCATTTTTTTCTAACTGCGATTATTTCGTCTAAAGATCGTTTAGAGAAAATTTTATTTATATAATTAATCGTTCTTTTATGAAATAACCTATCACTTGAAAGTATCTTGACGATTTAGTGACCGAACCAATAAACCCTCTCCGAGATAAATTCATTATTTACTTGTAGTTTGTAAGTTATAAATTAAAGGTGTAGAGGGTTTGTTTTTACACTTTCTGCTTTCCCTGAAACCCCAGAAAGCTGCTATCGGTTTGTTTGCAAGACCAAACAATAATCTGACTGTAAAGAGCAGTTTCATATAGATACTGCTATATAAATTAATCACTTCTAATACAGTTATCTTCTGCTCGTTTGAAGAAATCAATCAAGTTAGGAGCCAGCTGTTTGTAAAATAGTACATTGCTGATAATGTCTATCATAACTTACAAAAAGAGGAATATCTCTAGTATGGTGACTACTATAGCCATGCATGCATCAAAACCAAGGTTTTTTTTCCCTCTACAACTTAAAAGATGGTATACACACACACTCATATACACATGCGCGCACACACGCACACACATAACACGGAAATAAACCTCATTAAATATACTGTAGCTCTGTTCAGTAATTTATTCTGAAAAACATATAGCTAGTTGACTAAAATTACATGAAACTAATAATAATTCCACAGCAGGGTAATTTTAGAAACCTCACCTAGAAAAGAAGGGCAGGAACTATCAAGAAATATATTTTACAAAAAGAAATTTTAAAAATCCATCCAGATTTAAACATTGCAGTGTGCTTTTAAAGGATAAAATAATCATTTACCTTGTGCAAGCATACTGAACTCCAGGAAAAGTGCTATGTGGTAAAGTTCCATAGCTTCTTCAGCCTTTGTCATGCTTGGCTTTCCTGCTACAAGAGCCTGGACCTCACTTAAACTCCCTACTGATGGACTGCTGTGCAAAATAGAGAGATCCACCAAATCTGTATACATACAGTTTAAAATTACCCTCACGTATTTTTTTGGTATGATAGATTCATCTAGTATAATCCTTGTTGGAGTCCTTAGTGTTCGATCTGTAATTTCTTCTCCGGTTCTTATCCTCCTCTGTAGTAGATGCCGGAAGAAAGGTGAGCGTGATGAAATAATAGCTTTGTGTGCTCTGAGCTCCTCATCTAAGCAGCTCTGACTTCCGCCGTAAGCTTCAACAAGTTCAGAGTCAGATGAAAAACTGAGAACCACATCATAATAGCACATGTAATCCAACAGCCCTCGCATATCAACATCTAGAGAATTTGGTGTTCCAAATTCCTCACTAAGCTGCATGAGAATGTCAACATTCTGAAACCTCGAATCTTCCATCCCAAATTCACCTGTGTATAGGTAGTGTAGCAAAGCAGAAAACATGGGCAGGTCGATGCCAGCTGTATTGATATCCATTATAATCTCTGCACCATATTCTGGTGAGGAAGAAAGTAGGGTCTTAAAAAATGGGCACCTTGCAGCCAAAATTGCACGATGCACAGGGAAGCAAGTCTCTTGAAATATCAGATCAACATCCGTGCAGTATTTAAACTCGTACAGTTCAGCCATGTCTTTCTGCAGCGTCCTGGCTTCTGGTCTTGCTAAACTAGCTTGCAGAGAAAGCTCTTTTAAGGCCGATGTTCCTTCATACTCTTCCACTAATGCATTGACATCCCTGACATCCCAGCCTGAGAGGAGCTCACGCATCTGTTTGGCATGATCAGCAGACCGGTTAGACTTTCGGCGCTTAATAAACTTCTTTTTGAGGGTAGCAAGGCCAGAGCTTTTCTTTTTCTTATCTTGAGGTTTCTCGTGGCCATGCTCAAGGCTATAAAGTTTAGATTCACAGCCATAACCTTGATGGGAATAGGATGATGTTCCTGAAAGAAGGGGAAAAAAAACTGCCTGAAGCCCAGAGTTACAGTGTAAAAAATGAGTGAAATGCATTGATAGGAGTTTTAAACTATTATATGGAAAATGTTCAGAGTAGTTTACAATAAACTAGCAAAATGTAGTTATAAAGAAAATGTACAAAATTTTGCATACAAAAAAAAACTAGTGGAAAAGCTATTATTTGACTATCCAGATCTATCCAACAAAGGAATCAATCCTGACAGTTTTCAACTGTCAAGGCCCCAAACTTTTATTTAGCTGTAATTTGCAATGCATGGAGATTTTGAAAAATAAAATATTTATTTACCCTACTTCTTTCTCTTTCTACCTTTCTTAAACAAAATAGTGATGGTAGTATTCTGGGAACTGATTTTAAGTCAAAATGGTTATATGAAAAGATTAAAAAAAAAAATAAAACAAATTTTCTCTTTTTACAGATATATAAAAAAAATTGGCCTGGGTCATTTATCTTTCATCTGGAATATGTAACTGACTGGAAAAATCCTAGTTGCATTCCTGTGGTTTTACTATTTTTGTCTATCCCATGTCTTTCATTCTTCCATTTTTGTGGATTAATCTTGTTTGCCAGTTGGGGAAAGCTAATACACTAACATATCTTGTAAGATTTGCCATGAAAAACATATTAAAAGACATCTTACACAATTACTGAATTCTGTCCACATCTGTCATTATTTTCCAAATCTTGATTATTCTTTCTTTTTATTTGATCTTCTTGAAAATTTGGCATATAATATATATGGCTGTGCATCTAACATTTTGAAATATTTCTGGTCCTGTGGCAAAACTAAATATTAATTTTTAGTCTTATTTTTATCTAGTCTGATGTATATTTAACTGTATTTATTTTAACTATAGCAATGTCTGATTTAAATGAACACCACAGAGTTCCTTATATTTGAAGATTTTTTACTTGACTTTTCCTGGTTGACTCTTTTGTAATTTTGCAAATGGATTACAGACCTGGCCAAACATGCACAGAATTTTTAATACATTAGCAAAGGCTATGACATAGCTATACCCTTTTTAAGGTTTGTTGTGCAACACTTCCTGTCTCCTAAACCTATAAGCTACCATAGAGTGTTACACGACCTCGGGCACACTTTCTCAACATAAATGTTGAAACTTTTTGCTAATCTAGTCATGAAGTCAAGTTATAGTGGCCTGCAAGTGGCCTGGTTGCGGGGGCCGTGAGGTAAGTGGGTGCGGGGCTTGTGGGGCAGCTCCACCCCCACCTGCCTTGCCTCACCTTGTGGCAGCAGCACTGATGTGATGTGTGTTCTCCTACCCTGTTGTGGACACGAGCAACCAGACAGTGGACAGAGTGGGTGGGTGGCCACAATATAAGACATCCCCCGATCTTTGGTCTTTTGGTCCCTCCCCCCAAAATAAGACCGGGTCTTATTTTGGGGGAAACATGGTAAAATCCTTTTTGGTGTTTAGCTTAGCAAGACCCATAAACTTATGCATTCCAAAAGATCCATTTTGTTAAACATTTTAAACCCTGACAAGTGGTCAGTTTTTAACATGAATAAGACAGAAGATTTTAAAATATTCCAAAGAAAGTGAACAAAAGGACCATAGAACATAACATATTGCAAGATACAAATATTGAAGTCATTGAGGTTTCAGTTGAACTCCTGACAGGGCTTAGAGTTAATTAATGCTTAAGATTTATCTCTAGCAAACCTACCATTAGATCTGCTAACTTCACAATATTACATTATGTTAAAAATGTACTTACTGTATATCAAGTTTTTACTGCTAGCATAGCCTGAGAAAATAGAATTCTAACATCATTCTAAATTTGAAATCAAAATTAGAACCCACAGAAGAAAAATTCCAGTGGTTAAATATCACCCCATCAGTTCTGGTTTGTCTTTTTGTAGCAACAAATAGAAATTTAAAAGATCCTTGCAAGAATTAGCTCTGAAATTCTGAACACCTTTAATGTTATGTTTTTCTGAGCCAATAATATTTTAAAAGCTGCCCATTAGATAAGTTCAAGACTTAGCTATTTCTAAAATATGCATCCTTTCTCACTTTGTCTCTTGATATAAAAAAGTTTGTTTTCCCAGCATGCATTTGGGTAATTTCAGGTTTAACAAATGAGACAGAATTATCCATTTCCTCTCATCTGTTCATAAGTATCCTTTGCAAGTGAACAGAACTTGTAATAGTACGATAGATTTATCAAATGAACTGCTGCTTAATATAAATTATATCAAAACTGCCTTCGAGTTAGCCATGATTACAGACAACATATGGCCTGGATATGCAATGTAAATATTTTAAATGGAGAAACGGAAATACTTACCTATGAATGTCTGTTGTGCCTGAGAATTTCCCCCTACCCTTGGGGAACACGAATGAGGATAGTTTGAAGCATTAGCACCCATCTTCTTTAGTCACTTGAGCACTCCACTTCCTGGCTCATCAGCGCACAATTCCACAACCCATGATAGAACTTAAGACACAGTTCAAGTAGGAGCTTTTTCCCCATTTCTGAAAAATTGTAAACATAATATTACTACCTTTCCAAGTAGTTACATGAACACTGTAATGATTTGAGTGACCATATACTGTACTATGTGTAGTGAGTTTTCTTATTAATGCAGCTATAAGTAAACATGCATAATCTAATCATTTTTGAAAATGAATTTTGCATCAAGACCTATTTCGTCAAATGAACTAAAGTTCACCTATAAAAGTTCATGAGACAGGACATCCTAATATCTAGAATTTATGAGTACATAAAAGGTGGTTTAGACACATACTCTACAAACAGTATAGATAGAAGCCACTGACTGCAATATAATATATAGTAGCTACAGTATGTAACCTTCAAAATGTATGAACAGATTATAAAGGCAGGCAGGAACAAAACACAAAAAATTAAGACCCAAAACAAAAAGCTTACAGCAAAGACTGAATGGGTAATACAGCTAAAAGATCGTTATATAATGTGCAAATTTGAGTATGGTGCACTTAAATATAATTTACATACATATGGGCAAACTAACATTCTCTTACCAGCAATAAAACATGGATTTGTGTGAGGTACCAAATGTTTCCTGACTATAGAAAAACTTAATTTACAGTCATTAAATTGGAGATTCTATTAAAAAACATTTTTTTAGTGTTGATGCTGTTACACGGCCATAGTTAATTGGCTATTATTACAAGAAATTCTAATTAAAGTTTCTTCTTTTTGAATTGAGGAAGATTTGATATTTCTCAGAATTAAAAGAAAAAGGAGACAGGGTTTTATTGTTCAGTTCTACAAAGTAGCTGGATAAGTTTAAAGAGAGATAGTTTGGTCTCTAATGGTTAAGGCACCAGCCCAGAAACTGAGAAATTGTGGATTCTAGTCCAGGGGTGTCAAACTGCCGGCCCGCGGCTGGATGCGTCATGCCGAAACCACACCCACCCCATTGCTGGCAATGGAAAAAAAGTCGCGATATGTTGTGACACATCACGTGATGTTGCGAGTTTGACACCCCTGTTCTAGTCCCTATCAAGTATGTATATGAACCATAGTGGCGCAGTTGTTAGAATGCAGTATTGCAGACTAACTCACTGCTCGCTGCCAGGAGTTTGATTCTGAATAGCTCAAGGTTGACTCAGCCTTCCATCATTCTGAGGTCGATAAAATGAGAACCCAGATTGTTGGGGGGCAATAAACTGACTCTGCTTAGAGATGGCTGTAAAGCACTATGAAGTAGTATAGAAGTCTAAGTGCTATTGCTATTGCTATATTTATGCATGCAACAAACCAAATGATCTTTCCAGGAATTAAAAATGTTATACAAATGCAAATACTTTAACATACTTTAAAATAAAAGATTACTTTAAAATTAGCAAATGGGCTGAAGTACAATTTCACAAACGAAACTGTCAGATATATCACCAAATTATGTTTTATTCTTGTACAAATCATGACTTTACAATTGCTCAATCTGGCGGTTACTTATTTGTTCTACTGTATTGTTCTCCAGTATCCCTCCACAATCAAGAAATCTTCTATATCTATTATACTTGGCTGAAAGTACACACATTCCTGAAAACACAAGTTAATAATCTCTCTCTCTCTCTCTCTCTCTCTCTCTCTTCATATTTAGCTATAAGTTCTCAAGCATAGAGGTGACAATATACTAAGTTTTTTTTAAACAGGGGGCCAGTTCATTGTCCCTCAGATTGTTGGGGGACTGGACTATAGTTTGAAAAAAAAATGATTATAACCAAAGCATCCTTAGCGATAGGATGAGAGACCGCCAGGATAGGCCAGGAGGAGGGGGCAAGGGGATGGCAAAAGGACAGCAGGGCAGGACTAAGGCAGGACTTCCCTCAGACCCTCCCTCTCATTCCAATCTCCTTCCTTCCTTCCTCCCTCCCTTCCCTGCCTCCCTTTCTCATTCCCATCTCCTCCCTCCCTCCATTCCTACCCTCCTTCTTTCCCTACCTCCCTCTTTCTCATTCCCATCTCCTTTCTTCCTCCCTCCCTCCCTCCTTCCCCTACTTCCTTCCATGCCTCCCTCTTTTTCATCTCCTTCCTTCCTCCCTCTTCCTCATTACTATCTCCTTCCTTCCTTCCTCCATGTTCAGGAAGGGTCAAGGGGAGGGGGAGAGGTTGCCAGCGCGGCCACTGGCCATGCTGCCAGTGGCCATGGCTTGAAAGACCACTGTAAATTCCTGGACAGCCTTAAGAGCAGAGTGGCAGAAAGATATTTGCAATGAGGGAGGAGGGAAAAAAAGGCAAGAAACATAGCTGGGGAAGTGTCACCCTCCGTGAGGAAGGAAGAAAGGCATTATCAGCTGGAGATGACCAGCAATTGGCCCTCGCCCACTTCACACTCCCGGTTTTGCCACGAGCAGAGTGAGAGTCGGCATCTGCCGCCCAGCCCCCAGTCTGCCCAGTTCGGCTGGGCCGGGCGAGGCGAAGCTAGCGAGAAGCTAAACCTGCCTCGACGCACTCACAGGAGGCGTCAAGCAGCACAGGGCTTGGCGTCCTGGGTGAAAGGAAGACAGTCACCCAGGATGCCAGGCCCTGTGCTGCTCACCACCTCCTGTGGCGAGTTTCTTGCCTGTTTTTCACTGCAACTTGTGTGCGTGCCCAGAACGAATGGCTGCCATGAAGTTATAGATCGGCTACCGGCTGACCTGTTTTATCTCCTCTGCTCTCTCTCCCCCCTTTTTCTCTTTGGTGCAACTGCAGCTGTCTCCTCTTCCCAAGGCTGCATCTTTTTTCTCTTTCCCTCTCCCACCAAAACTGCCTGCTTTTATAGCGTCCCCTGTCTCCGTCCTCCTCCTCCTTTCTCTTCCGGGTGTGCCGGAAGTGCCGATCCTGGGGCCTTTGTCTGGCCCCAGGAGCCCTGCAACTCCTGATAACTCTCTCAAGGCAAGTCCTGCGCTGAGCCGCTTTGGCTTATTCCCTCCTCCCGCAAGACCTGCGCTGTACTATACTACCAACGTTCGCACGGTGGGCTGGATAAAAAGACAAGGTGGGCCGCATCTGGCCCGTGGGCTGTAGTTTGAGGACCCCTGACCTAGCTGGATAAGATCAAAATCCAACAATACGCAAGCAGGATTTTTTCCTTCTTATTAGCTGTTTTTATCATTCCTGGGTAGAAAAGGAGAATATACATTCAATAGGTAGTTTGCGTCAAACAGGAAAACAACAAAAAGTATTCAGATAACATCAAACATTATTTATCAATTAAGGTAAACAACTCAAAATATTTAGATCAGAGAATTGCCTCCCCCATCACCAGCACTGTCAACCATGTAACAATGAAGAATGAATAGAACAACTGCTGCAACCTTCTTACCTAGCTTAGGATTACTCGCATATAGGTAGTCCTCATTTAGCAATCACAATTAGAACTGGCAACTTAGTCGATAATTGAAACATTTGCTAAATGAAACAGCAATTCTGCTTATGATCTTGCTTTATTTTTCCTTTCATTTATAGACCTGCAAAGGTTGGTTATAAACTTTTTAATCACTGTCATAAACTGTGAATGGTTGCTAAATGGGCAGTCATTAAATGAGGATTACCTGTAGTTATGCTCAGTTTGGAAGATGCAATGAAATCATTTTAAATTGTCTTATGGCTCCCAGATTTGGTTGTACTTGCTGTAGATTATAGAAATTAAAGTCAAACATCTGGAAGGCAACAAATCCCTTCCTGTCCTCCTAATTACAAAGGTGGTTGGGTGGGCTGTTTTAGAAAATAGGCATACTGACTAAAGTTTAGATTTTCCTTTCTAGCAATTATTTTTCCAGTATAGTGTAATGTTAAAGTCACTGAGCAAGAGACCAAAAGATAGGGCTTCCAGTTCTGGGTCAGCAGTGCTGCGGTCGTGCAGAGAGACTCGTCTCTTTGCCGGCTGAGTTTCCCCCGCCGGTAGACCCTTGATTGGGTCGAAAGTCGCCCTGGACGGGCGACCGACGTTGAGGAGGCTGCCTGTTTGACTGCAGAGGGGCGGCGGTGCCCTCTGCTGTCCAAGCGAGCTCCTTTGGGCCGACGGAGTAAAATGGCCAATCACTTAGCTGCACCAGCCATAAGCCACAAGAACATCTAAGCGAAATAAAACCACCGTGGAAGATTCGGTGAGGCCTTTCCTTGCCTCTCCCTTTCCTATTTATTCCTGTGAAAAGCCTTTGGAATCATTTCCCTATCTTTTTAAAGCAGCTTTGTTGATGGGGGAAGAAAAGCCTTGGAACAAAAGAAAAATTAATTTTAACTTTTTCAATGGTTGATTTTATTTTTGAATATTTGGGAGTCCTAAAATCCTTGTTATAGAAACTTAATATGCTAGCAATTTGGAGAATTTTTTTTTATTTTCTACTATTTTTATAACTAAAGAAAAGAAGGAAAAAAGGAAAAGAGGAAAGAAATTATTTTTATTGGGGGTCTGGAAAGACTGAACAACTAGTTAACTCTCTGGGGACATCTTGTGGTGAAAGTATTTACTGCAATTGTTATTCCCTTTCTTTGGACTGACTTTGATCTTCAAATTATTTCAAAAGGGAAAGATAATCTTCGACATATCGACCCACCTTCGCCTATAACTGACTAACAATAATTTATGTCGGAGGTGGTTTTCTTATTACCGAAATATATGATGACTTTACCTCCTTGAGACAGGTCTAAAGTTAATGTTCATATATAACCTGTTTTAAGAACTTTTATGACTTGTTTATTAACGGATATGTTTTCTCATTATTTTTCAACGACATATCAAAGCGCAAGGTGTAAGTGAGCACTTTGTAAGCCAAGAAACAGCAGAAGGGGTATATAAGAGACTCGTCTTCAACCTTATCCATAATTTACTGAGATGGAGGAATTAAACTTACATCAGGACTACCAACCTACACCGGAAAAAACTTCTGATGCTAATGAACAAATGACTTTTAGCACGGAAACGAAGGATGTTACCCCAGAAGGGCAGGCTGATTTCCAGACTCCAACTGATTACCTGACAGATA